TCTGCCTTCAGCTCAGGTCATGATCCCAGGGTCCTGGGATCAAATCCTGCACTGGGCTCCTTGCTCAGCAGGGAGTCTGCTTCTCCCTCACCCTCTGCCTCTCCCCTCACCCCCCGCTTGTGCACTCTCTCCCTCTCACTCTCTCTCTCAAATAAATAAATAAAATCTTTAAAACAACAACAAAAATAAATAAATCCAAAACAAGAAGGAAGAAGATAATAAACATTAGAGCAATGAGATTTTAAAAAAGAAAAATCAATGAAACCAAAATTTGCTTCTTTGAAAAGATACACAAAATTGCCATTCAACTAGATTAATAAAAAAAAAAAGACAAAATTACAAAATCAAGAATGAAATGGAGTATTACAGCAATCTTACAGAAATTTAAAAGGTCAAGGGAATACTAAGAGAACAACTTTATGCCAACAAAACTGTTAACTTTGATACAACAGAAAAATTCCTAGAAAGAACCAAATTACCAAACTGACTCAAGAAGAAATGGAAAATCTGAATAGAAGGAAATTGAATTAAAAACTAAAAATATTCTCACAAAATAATGCTCAGGCCCAGATGATTTCACTGGTGAAGTCTCCAAAACATTTGAAGGAGAAATAATACCAAGACTTCACAAACTCTTTCAGAAAACAGAAGAGGAGGGAACATTTCCGAATTCATTCTATGGGGCCAGTTTTACCAAAGACAGACAAAGACATCATGAGAAAAAACTATAGACCATTATCTCTCATAGATATTGATATAAAAATCTTCAACAAAATATTAGCATTAAACCCAGCAAAATATAAAAGTATTATACACCAACTATGATTTATCCCAGAAAAGCAATGACTATAATACACCATATTAACAAAGGACAAACACCATACGATCATCTCAATAGACACAGAAAAAGCTCTTTGACAAAATCCAAGATGTATTCATGACAAAAACTCAACAAACTAGGAAGAGAACTATCTCAATCTGATTAATCTATGAAATACCTTTAGCTAAGATTATACTTGATGGTGAAAGATTTAATGCTTTTCCTCTAAAATAGGGAACAAGGCAAGGACATCCACTCTTACCACTTCTAATTCAACATTTTACTGGAGAATATAGCCAGTGTAATCAGACAAAAAAAAAAAAAAAAGCCCTCCATATTGCAAAGGAAAAAGTAAAACTGTCTTTATTTGAAGGCAACATGATCCTGTATAAAAGAATTCCTAAGAAATACACACACACTTCACACCAAACCCCTAGTAGAATAAACGAGTTCAGCAAGGTTTCAGGATACAAGAACAAAACACATAAATCAATTGTATTTTTATATAATAGCAATGAACAATCCAAAAATAAAATTAAAAAAATTCTCTTTACAACAGCATTAAAAAAGAATACTTAGGAACAAATTTAACCAAACCAATGCAAGAGATACACACTGAAAACTACAAAATGTTGGTGACAGAAATTAAAGAACATCTAAATAAATGGAGAGATGTTCCATGTTCATGGACTGGAAGGTTCAGTATTATTAAAAATGGCAATTCTTCCATACTGATCTACAGATTCAACACAATCCCTATCAAAATCCCAGTAGGCTTTATTGCAAATATTAACAAACCAGTCCTAAAATTTATATGGAAAGGCTAAAGATCCAGAATAGCCAAAACATTTTTAAAATAACAAAGCTGGAAGACTTATACTTCCTGATTTCCTAACTTACTAGAAATCTATAGTAATCAAGACAGTGTGGTACTGGCACAATGAGAGACAAGTAGATCACTGGAATAAAATTCAAGAGTCCAAAAAAAAAACCCCACACATTTTATCGTGAATTAATTTCAGAGAAGTTGTCAAGAAAATTCAATGGGAAAAGTTGCTGAGGCAACTAGATACCCACATGCAAAAAAGATCAATTTAGATATTTAACCCACACCATACACAAAAGTACCTCAAAATGAGTTATAGACCTAAATATAAGAGCTAAAACTATAAAACTTTTAGAAGAAAACCTTTTCTTTTTTGCATGCAAGCAGGGGGAGGGGCAGAAGGGAGGGAGAGGGAGAGAGAATCTCGAGTAGACTCCATGCTGAGCATGTGGAGCCCAGCACAGGGCTTGATCCCATGACCCTGAGGATTGTGACCTGAGCCAAAACGAAGAGCTGGACACCTACCCAACTAAGCCACTCAGGCACCCCGAGAAGAAACTCTTAATAACCCTGAGTTATGCAAAAAGTTTTTAGATATGACATCCAAAGCCTGATTCATAAGAATGTTTCTGATATACTGGACTTCATTAAAAAGTTTTGTGCTTCAAAAGGCACTAATAAGAAAATAAAAAGAGAAGCCATAGACTGCAAGAAAGTATTTGTGAATCCTATATCTGATACAGGACTTACATCCAGAATATATAAAGAATGCTTACGATTCAGTAAGACTATAAAAACAAGCAAATTCTTAAAATGTCAAAATATTTGAAGAGGTGTTTCACCAAAGAAGATATAGGAATCACTAATAAGAACATGAAAATATGCTCTACATCATTAGTCACTAGGAAAATGTAAATTAAAACCATGAAATATCATTTCACACCTACTAAAATTGCAAAAAGAAAAAAAACAGAAAATAAAAAATACTGGCAAAGATGTAGAGAAATTAGATTCCTCATACATTGATGATGAGAATGTAAAATGATGCAGCCACTCTGGCAAACAGCTGGCAGTTTCTTGATATGTTAAATATCAATTTACCATACAACCCAGCAATTGCATTCCCAAATTCTTCCCCAAGAGAAATGAAAACATATGTTCACACAAGAAGTTGTATTCAAATATTTATTGTAGCATTATTCATAATAGTCTGAAGTGAGAAATAATCCCATGCCCATCAACTGGTGAAGGGATAAACAAAATGTGGTTTTAGAATTTTATTCAGCAAAAAAAAAAAAGGAATGATACAGGCCACAATATGGGAAAATCTCAAGAACATTATTCTAAGTGTAGGAAGCCACAGAGAAGAGCCCACATATTATCTGATTCCATTTATAAGGACGGACCTGAGAAGGCAAATCTACAGAGTTATAAAGTCCACTAGAGGTTGTCTGGGACTGGTGATAGAAACAGGGAGTGACTGCAGATGAGCAGTAGATGGTGACAGAAATCTTTCTGGATGATGTGAAAGGATCTAAAATTAGATTGTGGTGATGGACGTACAACTCTATATTTACTAAAAGTCATTGAAATGTACTCTTAAAACAGGTGAATTTTATGGTAAGGTAGCTTTTTTTAAAGGTCAAGAAAAAATTAGTAGAAGATTGTATTAGAGGAAGAAGAAAGTTTCCCACCTTTCCACTAAGAGTCCAGTCATCTGAAAATTCTCCCTCATATATAGTATCATCTTCGGAAAGTAAAACCCCATTTCCCTATGTGAAGAAACAAAACAAAAATCACAACAGATAAAATGCAAAGTAACTTCGAGTTCATAGAGCCATAACCCCAAAGCCTTACATAATCTTAAAAGACAAGAAAAATAGTACTAAGAAGGTAGAACATTAATAAAATGATGATTTAAAAGTTAAGGACATGGGAGTTTAAAAAAGTCAATAGTAACTATATGCAAAATATTCTACTCACCATCATTTTATTAAGGTGAAAGTTGCCTTCATAGTATAATCCAAACTGGGTAACTACCACACCATTCCCTTGACATACGTCATCTTGCCACATTCCCATATACTTTTCCCCCCTATATGGAAATAGAAAAGAAATGAAATGAAAAACTGATGATGAGATGGAAAAAAACAATTATAACATGGAAGATTCCAAGCATCACCCCTATGTTAGTATTTGTTCCATTTTTCTGGTTAAAGTGGTTAACTCTGTGTCTCTTCAAACATGGGACAATGTGGTAACAAAAGACATCTTACTCAGAGTAACGTTCTCTCAGAAATTTAAATAATATAGTCTACCTGACATAGGTCTGCATATATTCCATGTATGTCCTTGATAATTGAAAAAAGGAATGTCAAGAATTCAACTCTAAATAATTTCATTCAAAATGTAATATGTAGACTCAAATTTATGCACTTTTTTCCTACTCCAAAACTTACTAACTTTAAAAAAAGAAATGAGGTTTATCATATAAAAAGTCTCATTCTTCACAAACTCAAACTCAGAGAAATCTTATAATCTCCACTAAAAAAAAAAGTAAGTATAAACTGCTTGTTAAATAATCATGGAGTTTAGTAATAACATCTAAATTTTAAAATCCCACATTATAAAAATAACATGAAGGGGAAAAAAGTATATATTAAGTCCAAAAGCGAATCAGGCTAAATCAAATATGGAGGCAAAAGAAATACATTCCTCCCCAAGGTTTAGTAAATTGAATTTAAGCTTGATTCCCTGGTTGCTGGCACGGTAACAAGTCCCTGACCTAAAGAAAGACCTAAGCAGAAAGGTGTTTAGATGCCATCCTATGAGCCTAAAAGGGAATTTCCACTGGTTCCCTCTGACCTTTTACTCCTATTATCTACAGATTGTTTTAAAGGTTTTACTTTTTATAATAGTTAACACTAAAAGCTTTGTACATGTGGAGCTTTAAGGAAAATGGTACCAAGGTTAATTCTGAAAGGTCCTGATCTTGTAAAGAAGTAACCTATTATTTGGTTCATAAGCAAATGGATAAAATTATGCCTGACAACTGTGTCTTATTAAAAAATGTCTCACTACTGTCTAATTAAGATGCTCAGCCTTCATAAAAGCATCGCTTTTACTGGAGAAGTATAGGAACCTTATCCTCTCACACTCAACTTTGAGATTAGAAGCAGAATACTGTACCTAGTGATATCATCAAAGACACCATATCCTGCTTTCTTATCCATTACCCATTGGCCAATGAACATGCTGGGAGAAGAGGAAGTCAATTTTCCACTTCTCAGGAGACCATGACCATGACGCATGTTATCTTGAAAACAGCCTTCAAACACTTCACCAGAGGCATAACTGTAGTTACAAAGAATGGATGAAGATCACAAACACATTGAATTCTGATGCTCATTTTTTTTTTTTTTAAAGATTTCATTAATTTATTTGACAGAGAGACACAGCCAGAGAAGGAACACAAGCAGGGAGAGTGGGAGAGGGAGAAGCAGGCCTCCCACGGAGCAGAGTGCCCGATGTGGCGCTCGACCCCAGGACCCCGGGATCATGACCTGGGCTGAAGGCAGCCGCCCAACCGACTGAGCCACCCAGGCGCCCTCTGATGCTCATTTTTACAAAGTTTAGGAAATTCAAAATTATACTCATGTCCTACTGGTAGCTATAATATTTATATGATTATTTTTCACCAATCATAATTTTTCATATTTGAATGAATGAAGCTTAGAAATTAAAGACATCATGGATGGTATTGTCTGTTAACATGGGGAAAAATGTGTATTAATCACTTATGGGAAAATGAAATAATGAGTAATCTCTGAAAGAATGATAGGTTTTGTCCATATTAGAGTTGTTTAATAAACATAAGATATAAATTTATAAGAAAGACATTTAACAGATTCTTCAAGAAAGTTATGGTTTCAAAGGTTTGTACAGTTTTGTTGAAAACTAAGTAACAACCTAATATTTTCATCTGGTGATACAAAGTTACCTTTAAAAGAAGACTTTTTAAACAGTTTCAGTCATAAAAAGAATAAAATATACTTACTCCTTGGAAATTTTGGCTACATAAACATTTAAGTCTACATGATTCTTTGAAAAAGCAACACCAGCCCAACAACCCGTCCAATGTTATTACCTATAGACTCCTTGACCACACATTTTTCCTTCTTTCCAATGGCCCACATAATGGTCTTCTTTGTTCAATGCTTTGTTTGGAATTCTGTATTCTCCATATCTACCCAAGGAGAATAAAAAACATCAGAAGATGCATTTAGGACATATTCACCTTTTCTATAGATGCACTTATAAACATTTTAACAAGGAGAACAGGAAAAAGAATTACCTATGGGGCGAAAGGAGTAAATGGGGTTTTGGTTTAAAATGTATCTATTACCTAGGCTATCAGGCAAGTCTTAGAGGAGTGGGGCCTCAATCCCACTAGACAGAGATTACGTGTTTCACTCCAACTCCAGTGAAAAACAGAAAACCTATGTCCTAAGCCTCTCTGCTACTAATTAGCCACATCACCTTGCGTAAGTGCAGGTACCCAGCTCCCTCACCCACGTATGGCGGGGCAAATGAGATTATCTAAAGACTCCTTTCATTGTAAAATTCCATTAAAAGGAGATTAAAAGACATTATAAAAATTTATATCACACACACAAAAATCACCTACCCCATCTGTATAATAATCTTTTTCATATAGTAAAATAAATTACTTCTCTAACATGATATAAAATACTTCACTGCCATAAGTTTATCATGCAAATATTTTCACAGTGTTAGAAAATATGACAAGCTTATACAAAAATATTGTCACTTGAGTACCATAATATATCATCTAGAAAATTTCTCCTTTAGCACATCACTGAAATTAAAGATGACTTAAAACTACTGAAAGGAAAAAAAAAAAAAGTAAAACTACTGAAAGGAAAATTTGTCTACGTTCTTTGTGTAAAAGGGCACTACTATCTCAACAGTTCACCATCAGTATTACCCCAGGTTTTCAGCCTTCACCACTGAGAAATGGACAGAAAACAGTCCCATTTTAACATACAGAAGGGCTGTGTCATTTGAGGTCACAAGGCTATCAAGGTAAATGATTCACTCCAGGTAAATCAAGGCTGCATCCCATATTCCCAGCCCTCTTATGATCACACACCTGCACTGTAAGCCCTAGTACACTGCATGCATTTCTAAAAAACAAAACAAATATCTATTTGTTTTGAAAATAACTCTCAATACATAATGTCATCAGTGGCTGAAGCTGAATTTACTCTTAGTTTTACACAATCTTCTTACCCATCTTCCAAGCCATTCCTGAACATGCCAGAATACATCTTTCCATCTGGCCACTTCAAAACCCCTCTGAAATGCATAAGCAAAAAATAATACAGATCAATGAATGTTTCAGATAACTGATACTTTTTCAGTATTGAACCAGACTATCATCTTCACCTCATGCATAAATCTTAAACATTTTCACCTGCCATGAGGCTTCCCTGAAAGCCAGCGTCCATCATAGGCTGCATCCTTCAGGCGAGGATCCTTATAGAAAGTGTACTTGGCACTGCGTGAAATGGGTGGTTCCTGCCTCTGAATACTGCTGCCACTTCCATAAGGTGGAAGGTCAGATGTCCCCCTCAAAGCCTGATCCACAGCTTGGCTTATAGCCCGTAGCCACTTAGTCTAGGAACAAAAAAGTAAATGTCAATAAGCTTAAGGCAACAACTCATCAAGCACTGCTTTAAATCCTGATAGCTTTCCTTGCTGTGAATAATTTTTCTGTCTCCTAATGTTTTTCTTATTGAGTAATGCTGACTGGCTCTTGGAATTCACTGCTGTATGTTTCAAATTAAGTCACATTAAAAACAAACAAACAAACAAAACCTATAGCCTTGGTTTAACGAAGACTTACCAGACATAATTATGGATCATTAGCCAAGGAAGAACAATTTTTATATTTTCTTTCCTAGCATAAGAGACAGAAGTAGCCAGGCCAAAAGATCAAAAGAAAATATCATAATGGACTAACCTTTTCCTGGGGTGTTGATGAAATGAGAGTGAACTGCTCCTCAGGTGTAGTTATCTTTAAGCCATTCCTAAAACATTCACAAGGATAAATACCAGTAGGTATGACAACCTGTCATTATAATATCACTCCTCAAATATGAAAAGCAACTTGTTTATTTCAAGAGGAGTAGAAGTCAATTAAATGTAAATGCAGACATGCCCTGGGTTTGGCTCTCACAGTAGGAGATAGAAAGGACACAGAGTCAATTTCCTTTGTGTTGAACAACGGGGATGTGAGCAATGGAGAAGCCCTCTACCATTTATCATGATCAGCCATGATCTTCACAACAGGCCATTTTACTATCTATAGGCTGGGAAGGTAAGCCTCATTATGCAGAATGGGGAGGACTCCTGAGCTTTTTTTCATGTCTAAGGAAACAACCTAGTAGCAGAGGGAGAGAGTTAGGGTGAGGGTCCGGGAAGGGGGACATACTTACACACCACCAGCTTCTTCAGAAAGTGGCTCTGCCCATAGCGTGGCCAAAGGGAAAACATGATGTGTGGAGAACTGCAAGAAAGAACATAGAGACACATCTGAGAAAGCTCGGGTGGGCCCTGGGGCCTCCGCTATATAACCCCTTTCAAATGGTTAAATCCACCTGGGTGCCACCATCTCAGCCACTTAGTCCCCATAACATAGCTAATCCCAGTAGGTCTTGCCATCTCTGCTACAAGGACCCCTTCACATGGTTGATACTCATTTTCAAGCTGGAAACTAAAAGAGCTCCCTGAAATTTGGTCCATACCACAAATGCATGCTAAACATTCTCTTTTATTCAATAATTTCAGCAAAATCACAATATTTTTAATACAAACTGATGGTTTAATTAAGTAAAAGTTAGAAATCTGGCATACCTGGGCATGGACTAGGGCATCGTTAAAGAGAATGAACCAATTCACAGAAAACCTCCCAGCATGCTGCAGAGATAGGGCTCGGTTACTGCTCTCACAGAGCAGCCGACGCTCTGGCTTCCTCAAGGAATCCTGGAATTGAAAACAGATACATAACTGAACCATCAGAATTATGTTAACATGCAAAGAGAAAATGAAAAAGACACAAATCACATTTAGGAGAATTTGTTGCTCATGGCTTAGCCTGGTGTTAAACCTGAAGTTAGACAGGATCTGAACATTTAATAAAAGCGCTCAAAGGAAATTAAGAAAAAGGCAGGAACAAACAAAAGGTGGTATGTGTTCAGAGAGGATTCCTAGAAATGAGGGTAGGTGTTGAGGTTTAGAGCAACGACTGCTGTCCTTTGACCACCCTTAAAAAAGGGCTCATTAAAACATTATTATAAACAAATGAGGAATGGAGAAAATTATGACAGTTGTTATGGATATGCCTGCTGTGTGCTGGGGTAATGACAACTGGCATGGTTTACCGTCATTTTCCCGGGAAAGGTCTTCCAGAAGCCCAGTGTGTATTCAGCTTCTTTCCTTTTCCTGCCGAGATGGAGAGCAAGAGACTCATAACAAGAACTGGAATCCTGTAGTTTCTGGTACTCTGGAGATGTCTGAAAGCCAATAATAAAGGGGAGAAGATGAATATAAAACAATTGTCCAGAATCTATAGCCTCAGTGTGGTGTAGATATACAGTATTAAATTTAGGAAAGAAATCCAAATGAAGAACAGACATGGTATATTAAAGGGGGCTGAGCAGAAAGAAGATTGGTTCCAAAAAATTCTACTATACACATGTACATATGAAACAGAGGAATAACTCCAGGGGAAAGAAATAAACACTGGCAGTTATCAGTGAGGAAAGCAGCAGAGAACTCATGATAGGGCAAGAGTTCTCAAATGTTTTGGTCTCAGGATATCCCTCTATTTTGCTTATGTGGATTATACCTATTGATATTTACCATATTAGAAAATAGAGAAATAAAAATAACCTTTAATCTTTATTAACTCACTTTAAATATAGTAACAGTTTAAATGAAAAATGACTATATTTTCCAAAACAACAACAAAATGCTTAGTGAGAAAAGTAGCATTGTTCTACATTTTTTCAAACCTCTTTCTTATCTGGCTGACAAGATGACAGCTAGATTTTCATTTCTGTTATTGCATTTAATCTGTTGGTTGAAATAGATGCAGAATATTTTGCTTTATGAGGATATATAGTTGGAAAGGGAGGATTATTTTAATAGCCATTTCAAATAATAGTGGATATTCTTTGAAACTAACCAAAAGTTGTTAAGTAGTAGGTTCTTAAAGGGTAGCTGAAATGTAGAATCTGAAACTACGTTAATCAAACTTTTTGTACTCTATTACATTAAATTCTCTGATCTCTTACACTTTGAATAGATATTTTACCTATGCATGATTTTATAGCATGTGGATTAGACATCTGGAAAAATACTGGTTCACTGAATAATGCAGACCTTCCAAATGTTGATACATTTTATTATACAATATCAAAAGTTCTATATTATCACCAATCTCATCAGAAAAAGTTGCCAAGTACTGGGAAACTGCCAAACTCAACAGTGATACATACATGTTTCCCACATTGTACTTTTTGCTTCAGAGTTCAGATTTTATCACTGGCCACAAATACTGTCAGTTGTTCTCCTCGAAGTGACAGGTTCATTTACTCATTTTTGAGAAAATATCTGCCTAATACCCAAATCTGAATAAACATAGTTATCTGTCAATTGTTTTTTCAAGTTAAAAAAAAAAAAAAAGCAGCTCTCAACTCAAAAGATAGTAATCTGGTGCGTTTTCTGGAAAAACCTCCATCCTTCGGTATGCAGCAGAGCTGCTCTGTGTACTCCCATCTCGTCACACAGAATATTAAGAAGATCTATACTTCTGTGTGTGGTGATGGATATTAACGAGATTTATCGTGGATGATCATTTCACAATATATACATCTATCGAATCATTATGTCAGATACCTGAAAACAATAGAATGTAACAAGTCAATTACATCTTAAAAAAAAAAGATGTAAACTCACTTGTTGAGGTTAAATAAAATTAATGATTTTTGCTGTGTCATCAAGAGCATTTCTAAGTGAAACCGGCATATTTTTACTTCTTTTGTTTTTTAACTGCAAGTGCATGGCAGCAAAGAACACAATGACTAGTTTGGTGCCACTGCCTTGATTCATGCTAAGGAGATAGCAGTTCTGTCCAGCTTTACTTTTGCACCACTGGTGGAAAAGCAAATGTCTCCGTATTGTCCTGAAAACAGTCTGATCTTGTGACCCCTCCAAAAGGGTCTTTGGAACCCCCAGGGGTTTGTGGGCCAAGCTTGGAGAACCAACCACAGGACAGGGTATAACTGCCACACCAGATGGAAAGTGAGCAGAAGGTAAAACAAAAGGATGATCCCTCACATTCATGACTAATTACTTCACAGTCCACAATTCTTACAGTGATTCATATTCATTTTCCATTCATTTAAAAAACATTTAATGGCATGTACTACATACAGAATATTCTGAGTGTCAGGGATAAAAAAATAAGTAAGGTACAATCTTTGTCTTCCGGGAGCTTAAACAAAGCAAAAAAGACAGAAAAACATACAACATAGCAGAATAATGCAATGGTTTTGTTAATAGGCTATCTATCAGAAGAGACAATATAGTAAAGTGGTTAAAAGAACAGACTCTGGAATCCTTGGGTATAAATTCTAGTTTGACCAATGTGCCTCAATTCCTTCATCTGTAGAAAGGGGATAACAGTAATATCTATTTCACAGGGTTGCCATGGGGATTAAATGAATACAAATAACATGCTTAGTACCTGGCACATGGAATGCATTTAATAAATCCTAGGTACTATTTTTATCTAGAAAAATGTATATGTATATATGATGTCTAAGCTGTACCTGAGATCTACTAAATAACAATCTGCAGTGTTGGAATATGGCCATGTGTTTTGAAAAATTTGTACAGATGATTTTGATCCCCAGTCCTGGGGATCATAAGAAAATAATGGGCAAAGACAGTACTAACAAAGCACAGAGAAAGGGGTAACCCATTCTTAAACGATGGGAAGAGGAAGGAATATGGTATAGTCAGAGGGCTTCATTTTCATGATAAAATGACTTTTGACCCAGGCCTTGAAATTTTCCCATAATGAGGATGGTGGTAGAGTGTCTCATGAAGGAAATATAAAACATGTATGTCCAGGGATCTGAACTAACATGTAGGACACAGGATGGTAGATAAGGCTAGAAACAAAAGAGGGTATCAGATAATAAAGGGCCTTAAATGCCAAACTAAAGTCTGGTTTTTCACACAGAATTAGGACCCTTCAGACTGGAAACTGTACTACCAGACTCTCTGAATAGTTCCAAGCTGGTCTGGGAGGGAAGATCTTTGATTAATTGAGGGTACATTGAGATGACATTTGCATCTCAGTGGGTTACTTGTGTAGCTCAAACCTTCATTGCTAAAACTACATCAGTTTGAGTTAAAATTGAAATCAGACTAAAGAAAAGATCTATGAGACTACAGCAGAATCAAATATAAAAAGCCCACAACAGTTTGTGGGTCACTCTGGAGACTGCAATTTATCCAAATAAAGAGGTAAGTTCCAGGATTTAAAAGATTCTAAAGTATATGAGACCGCAGAATCATTATGGTTTCTCTGGAGCCCTTCAGAGTGGGAACAAAATGAAACTACATATTTTAGTACAATTTCAAAGGTCAATGTCTCAGGACCAGCTTTAACATACACCCATATCCTACAATGGTACTAATTTTCTAGGACTCCACCCAACTAATTTCATATAGAAAGTGGACCACTTAACATCTGAGAAAATCCTGTAACACTGTGATTTCTCATACCATCTGCTAAGGTGACCCAAATACCTGGCATGAGTCTATCCTGAGTCCTGGCCAGGTGGTAATTCCACTGCCTTACTGGTATCTCATTACACAGAAAGCCAGGATTTTAAAGAGCTCTGTGTAACTTGTACTAGTATGCACTCAATAAACTTTGACAACTATTGAGTGCATAACATAACTGGGCCTCAACTTGTGACAGAGTTTCATAAAATGAATACAAAATTAATCTTGATAAGGTCCCGAGAAGAAACTAAATCAACGGCAAAGAGAACTAGATTTACCTATGGTCAAACTTTCTTCTTTCATGTTCTTGAAGAAAAATAAATTTAATTAGACACATATAAATAGTAAATTAATGGAGTTTGAAATCTTGGGGTAGCATAATCCAGACAAACAACTATGATCTTTGGCTTCCCAAGAGTTCAAATGAGATATTTATGGGAGCTTACCACTTCAAAACAGGTAGCAAGCTTTAGCAAAACTTTAGCATAATTATGAAGTCGTCTGATTGGCAAGAAAAACAGCGTATTCAGTATTTCCATCAATTGGGTGTTTTCATCATTTACTTCTGATAACTCTTGCAATAGCTCCTGGTTTTTATTTAGGAAATCACTGGAGATAGAGAGAAAAAAAGAAATTTAATTAATCTTTTTGGTATTGAAAAATGTATGATATTGAGTAGATACATTTCACTAGATACTACTTTTTTCAGCATGCATGTTTTTAGGTGCTATGAAAGTAGAATATAAATACAATGAAATAAGACAGATAAAATTAAAAGAATTTCCCTGCCTAGAAAATAGATTTTTACATATAAAAAGCAGCATATGGTAGCAATAGTAACTCTATAATAGAGATGATTAATCACAAACTGTGCCTTGAGTTCTAGGAAATGAATCATGCATCCCACAGTTTCAGGGAATAACTGGAGACCAGCTGACACCACTACCTGTTAATTTCCAAGCCAAAAGTCACAGCAATAAACGGCAAGACTAATTGCTCTCATCAGTTGTACTAAACCGAACTAATGGAGAACAAAGCTCTTTGCCCCAACACAACTGGCATGTAATATTAAAATACTTCTAATTTCTTTTTTTTTCTTCACCTAATAAAAATTAATTATGAGAGTAATGAAAAGCTGCAGGTACCAGTACTACAATTAACAGGAAACAGTAGAGCTAATTCTATGTGAAGATTTCAATGCTGAGATCTTCAAAAGCATTTTAAACTGAAGCCAACATTTAGTTTTTATATTGTTTTATATAAGTTCATTAAAATTTTATTGCAAATTTTATTTATTTATTTTTTTTTTAAAGATTTTATTTATTTATTTGACAGAGAGAAAGAGAGACAGAGAGAGAGGGGACACAAGCAGGGGGAGCGAGAGAGGGAGAAGCAGGCCTCCCGCCGAGCAGGGAGCCCGATGCGGGGCTCGGTCCCGGGACCCTGGTATCATGACCCGAGCCGAAGGCAGACGCTCAACCATCTGAGCCACCCAGGCGCCCCTTATTGCAAATTTTAATGGTGATCAATAACCCACTGAGACTATGATCAGACCGAAATACTTAAAAAGATGTGAAAGAAGAAAAAAAAAGATGTGAAAGAAGAGTTGGTGGGACAGAATAATAATTATTACCTGCCCCTTAATAAGCAATAATTATGTGTCAGGTACTACCCTGAGTGCTTTATAAGCATTATATTACAATTCTTACCTACAAGGCTTCAAATTAGACAATGTCACACAAGACTATAAGCAAGGATGAATCACTTTATAATCTCTTAGAGAACTGTAGAATAAAGAAATGTTTAACTCAGAAATTAATGAAGTATTATCTTGGAATGGAAAATATGTAATAATATCCAGGAACCCAAAAGTTCAATAGCACAAACTGGATTATCTTATAATGCAATTAAGAGACCTGAGAGTGCCCTGGGGAACGTGACCCAGGTTTTTATTTATATTTGGCTCGTGTGGATGTTCCTACTTCCTCCTACATGTCCTGCTGCTGAGATCAGCTAAGAACTCTCATTTAACCCCACGGAAGTGTTCTGCTTTAATCTGCTCCTGAGAGACTGAAATACCACATGTTGAACACATACCCACTATGACCACATTTCTTCTGCATGCCCAGTACTAGACCAGAAATGTTCCAACTCTTTTAAGTCCTATTACTTTTCAGGACTCACTCAGGTCCTTGCCTATGGACTTTCCCAAAAAGGCCCTTGTATGTTCTTAGGAAACCTGAACCAAGGACTGTTCAGCTTATCTTCTCTTGGGAGTTTTAATCTTATAGTGGCAATACTGCTTTCCCCTTACATGGCTAGGTTTGTACTTGTTACTCAAAAATTAATACATTAAGGCACTTGGGTGGCTCAGTCAGTTAAGCATCTGCCTCCAGCTAGGTCATGATCTCAGGGTCCTGGGACTGAGCCCTGCATCGGGCCCCCTGCTCAGCTCTGCTTGTGTGCTGTCTTTCTCTAACAAATAAATAAAATCTTTTAAAAAAATAATTTAAAAAATTAATACATTAAAGGTAGAACCCAAGTGTCCATCAACGGATGGATAAACAAAATGTAGTGTGTGTGTGTAGTGGAATATCATTCAGCCACGCAAGTTTGATATATGCTACAACACGGACAGACCTTGAAAACATTACACTTAGGGAAATAAACCAGACACAGAAGGACAAATATTATATGATTTCACTTATGTGAGGTACCTAGAATAGGCAAATTCATAAAGACAGGAAGTAGAATAGAGGTTACCAGGTGCTAGGGGTGGGGAAAGGAAGGAGAAATTATTGCTTAATGGGTACAGAAAGAGTTTTTGTTGGGGATGATTTTAAAAAGTTTTGTGTACAAATAGTGGCAATGGTTTACACAACATAAATGTTCTTGGTGCCACAGAATTATACACTTAGGAATGTTTAAAACGATAAATATTATGGAATGTATATGTTAGCACAGTAATTTTTAAAAAACCCACATGATGATCAAACCACCAGGCTGGCATGAGTTGAGTATCTAAATGATAAACCAGCTGAGTGATGAGAGCTTGAGTATCAACATCCAAGACTTACTAACTGCCATGTGGGCTCACCAGCTATGCTCTAGAGGTTCTCTTTTTAAATAAATACTACAAAATAACTTAAAATACTGACTTTGTAAATAGAAGTTGTAAAAAGATGTTATTGTTACCTTTTAAATATGTAAAACCCCAGGGTTCATGAACCACAGCTTGGGAAATGCTGCCCAAATCCAGACTTAATATTTGCTTCCATAGCTTAAAGTCACCCATTGTTTATTAATTGCTTAACACCTGCCTAGGTTCTAACAAGAGGCTTTCACTTATGTCATCTGCTTTAGCTGCTCTAACAAGGAGTCAGGTCAATTCCTGAGTACTGTGAACTCTGGAAAAACTAGAGGAAGGTTAACAAAAAATAAAATAAAGCTAAATAAGGCATCAGGGTCACCAACTACCATTGTCCTTCAAGAAGCCCAGAAACCTCCCCATTTTTTTTTTTTAAAGATTTTATTTATTTATTTGAGAGAGAGAATGAGAGAGAGAGAGCATGAGAGGGGGGAGGGTCAGAGGGAGAAGCAGACTCCCTGCCGAGCAGGAAGCCCGATGCGGGACTCGATCCTGAGCTGAAGGCAGTCGCTTAACCAACTGAGCCACCCAGGCACCCAAAACCTCCCCATTTTTAACTTGTCACAAATCTCCACCTATTTTTGCATCCTCCTATAATAAAGCTGCTTTTCTTCAAGCATTACTATTTGGAAAAATAACCATTCTTTTTTTTTTTTTCTTCATTTAATTACTGGTTTGGCTGCAATCATTTTCTCCTATTTTTTTGGCCAAGATTCAGCATTTCACCAACACTAAATGTTAAATAAGCTTTTTTTAGTCAATATAATATATAGATGTATAATAAATGTAAAATCAGAAATTACAACAAATATAAACTTGTCAGTTAAAAGCCAGAAACTCTCAGATGGAAAAAACAACAAAGCAGTAAGTCCACCAATTTGCTGTTTACAAGAAATATACAAAAATATTACAATACAATACAGGCAGGTTAAAAGTAATAGAATAGAAAGTGGTGTCATTATATTAATATAAATCAAAATAGCAAGATCAAAAATTTTAAACTTACTACATAAGGTTAAAATAAAACACTCTTTAATCTGTCATTAAAAAAATGAAGGCTGCTGGGGCATCTGAGTGGCTCAATTGGTTAAGCGTCTGTCTTTGGCTCAGGTCATGATCTCAGAGTCCTGGGATCAAGCCCCGCGTTGGGCTCCCTGCTCAGCAGGGAATCTGCTTCTCCCCTCTCCCTTTCCCTCTGCCCCTCCCTCCTGCTCATGCCCACTTTCTCTCTCTCTAATAAATATTTTTTTTTAAAATGAAGGCTGAACCCTTGTACTGTGGAAATGAAGGACATAACAGGAGTCAAAGAAAAAATCAAGATGGAAATTAGAAATATATTTACAATTGAATGATTATAAAAACAAAAGGTATCAAAGGTTTTAAGATACAGCTAAAGCAACACTTGGAGGGAAATTTATAGCCTTGGATGAGTACATTAGAAAAATCCAAAGACTGGAAAATTGATGAGCTAAATGCTAAACTCATGAAGTTGGAAGACATTAACAGGGGAACACAAAGAAAGAAGGAAATAAAAGGCAGAAATTCAGGGCACCTGGGTGGCTCAGTCAGTTAAGCATCTGACTTCAGCTCAGGTCATGATCTCAGGGTCCTGAGATGGAGCCCCATGTCAGGCTCCGCACTCATTAGGGAGTCTGCCTGTCCCTCTCCCCTCCACCCACTCTTGCTTGCTCTCTCTCTCTCTCAAATAAAATCTTTTTTAAAAAAGGGCAGAAATAAAATAGAAAACAAAGAAAAGTCAGTAGTAACTAAAGCTTAATCTTTGAAAAGAAAATTAAAAAGGGTAAACTGCTGACAAAACTGACCAAGATAAAAAGATAAAAGACTCAAATAAATAAGAGGAATGAAAAATAGGGGATATAACCACAGTTATTATGGAGGTGAAAACATCTTAAGACAATGGTAGCAATATTATGCCAATAAATTTGAAAACTTGGATGCAATAATTTTCCAGAAAAATACAAATAATTAAAGCCACAAGAAGAAATAAAGACCTGAACAGATCTATTCATTACAGAAATGAAGTCAGTAGTTTAAAAACTCCCTACAGAAATGCCCCCACAAAAGCCATACGTTTTTACAGATGAATTCTACAAAATCTCAAAGTACAGATATTCCCTATCTCATGCAAACTATTCCAGAAAATACAAAGTTCCCACACTCACTTTATGATTGCTAGTGCAATCTTCTTATCAAAACTTCAAGTTCAGAAGAGAAGGAAAACCTCACATTCATATAGATGCAAAAATCTTAAATATTAGCAAATTGAGTCCAGCAATGCACTGAAAAACTAATACAGGCAGACCACTGAATTTATCTTGAGAACTCAAGGATGTTTACCATTAAAAAAATAATCAATTGCTCTTCAACTTTCAGGAATAGAAGGGAACCCTCCCCTGCCTTTTTTAAGAAGGGAGCCTTTTAACCCTATAAATGATATTTACCAAAAACCTAAGGCAATCATCTTTAATGAAGAAATACTAAAACTATTCCCCTTGAAGATCAGAAATGAGACAAGGATGTTATTACTCTATTAGGATATAAGATCAAAAGCAAACATGGCAAAACATTAACATCTATTAAATCTGGGTTGTGAGTATATATGTTATATGTTTACTATTAAAATACAACTGAATTTTTTAAACTTGCCTTTGTCTCTAGGTCAACACTTGTTGAGAATCTACATAGTTCAGAATGATTAGCCTCATGTAAGAGACTTTTATATTTATTATCCAGAAGCTAAATGCAAAATCTTTATGCTTGTGCAACACTTTGTGTTCTTCTCTATACCATCACATACATTATTTGTTCCTCACAACCAGGGAAAAAACATTTCTATTTTTCAGATGAAAAAAATTAGGCTCAATTTGGTGAAGAGAGTTGTCCAACATCTCAGGGATAATAAAGAAGGACCCAGATCTTGTGGTTTTTTCAATACCATACTACTCCCAATGATAATCAGGGGCTAATAATACCTGTCTTTTTAAGAGTTAGCAAAAGTCTACATTTTGGTAGTCTACATTTGGTAAAATGATTAAGCCAAAGATTTTCCTGGGCACCCAAAAACAAAGAACACTATAAAACATGATCTTTGGTTGTTAGAATGATAATTGGAAGATATGTATTTGCTTACATGGCAGGCTTAGCAAGAAGCTGGAATCCTCCCATAACCAGGAAATTTGTAATAGATGTGCAATACCTTGACCAAAAAAGAAAACACATGTACATTAGCATTAATGAAAATTCTGAAGAACAAATTTACATAACAAGCATCTGGAGCAGATACTTCTTGGTCTCACCAATAAGTTTAGAACTTTTGTGATGTCAACATTCATGAACTGACTTGACTGAAAAGAAGGGCAGATTATGTGGTAATCACAATAATCAGGAGGGGAAAGAGCCATTTTAGTAAAGATAATTGTAAATTTAAAATACAACTAAAATTATGCAGAAGATGCTAGAACTTGCTTCATAGATATTACTTCGGTAACTTTTTTCCATGGGGCAGGGAGCCTGATGCAAGGGACCCTGGGATCATGACCTGAGCTGAAAGCAGACGCTTAAACAACTGAACCACCCAGGCGCCCCTTTACTTTTCTAACTTAACAAACTTGAGAAAATACAATTAAAATAGTTGGATTTTTAATGAAAATTAAATCTTCAGAAATAAACAATAGAGAAGGGATGAAAATATGTTAAAAGAGCTCAAGTGAAACTGTTAGAAAATGACAGTTAAGTTTTAATCTATTGCTAGAGAATGTCTTGATATACTGCTTTGACTCATGTACATTTCTACCATACTCCCAGAATGGCAAAATGGAATCAACTCACTTCGAGAGAAGGCAAATTCCTATTCAAAATAGCCCAAGGTACTATACACTTAAAAATGGTCCTGATGGGGGATGCCTGCATGGCTCAGTCGGTTAAGCGTCGGCCTTCAGCTCAGGTCATGATCTCAGGGTCCTGGGATGGAGCCCCACATCTTGCTCCCTGCTCAGCGGGGAGTCTGCTTCTCCCTCTCCCTCTACCCACCCCCACTCATGCTTTCTCTCTCTCTCAAATAAATAAAAAAACCTTTAAAAAAAAAAAAAAGGTCCTGATGATAAATTAGATGTTATGTTTATTTTACAATTAAAAATAACTTCTAAAATTCATACACAAATCAAGATTTTTTTACTTGCCTCACCTATATGAATAAATTACGTTAAAAGATAGGGAGGTATCAAAGGTATCAAAATAAAAGCATCTCTAAGTATAAGTCCTGAAGTATAAGAGAACAAGAAGTTAAAAAAAAAAATTGTGAGATAAATAAGACAAAAAAGAACTATACCAGCAAAAGCTAAACCTTCACACAAACAAAATCTAGTTTAAAAAAGTAAATTGGGGGTGCCTGAGTGGCTCAGTCAGTTAAGCATCCAACTCTTGATTTTGGCTTAGGTCATGATCTCAGGGTCATGAGACTGAGCCCTGCATCGGGCTCTGCTTAAGATTCTCTCTTCCTCTGCCCCTCCCCACCTCTAAAAAAAAAAAAAAAAAAGTAAACTGGTATCAAATTATGTTATTTTTCATGTCTGAAAGAATATGAAAGACTGCAACTCGGGTATTTCCTCTCAGACTATAGCTTCAAATATATTTAATACTGCTTACAATTAAAATCACATGCATCTATCTGCATATATATGCATAAATCTGAAAAGAAGTACACTAAAATTATTAGCAATGGTTATTTCTGGTGGTAGAATTATGGGCAACTTTAAGTATCTTTTTGACTATTTTATTTGTATAATTTTCAATAATAAACACTATCTCACTTATATTAAAAATAACCTAAACAAAACACCAATAGAACATGAACCCCCTGAACCCCCTTTTACTGGTTCCCGGCTGTGGCTGTATGATCTTAGAGCTCTACACAGTGCCTGGCACTTAGTGGGTACTCGGTCAATATTTGCTAGATGGATGAGGTGTTAATAAAGAATAAAACTGTCACTTCATATTAATGTTATTTTAATATCCATTAAAATAACAAATTATGTCAAAGTATAAATTAAGAAAAGGTGAGAAATACTTAAATTTTCAAATACACTTAGGATATTTTTTTAAAAAAAAACATTAAAAGAACCTTGGATAACTTATGCTAGATTTTATTAAGGAAATATCCTATTTTGAAGATAGTATGGTCTTTAAACCCTCCATTTACACAACAATAAAAAAAGACATTGGAACAACTCCATATTTACCATTAGCAGTTGGTCTTAAAATAACTGGTTTAGTTACTCATTTCTTCTAATTTTATTATAATTTACTTAAGTAAGCAAAATTATTCTCTAAAGAACCATATTTATTATAGTATATTTCATGTAAATTAAGTACACTATCAATCATTCTGCTAGACTACAGAAATACAATTCATTATTTTTAAACCTTTTTTCCACTTAAAACTAAAATTTTAGCAATGCAGAACTACAGTTGGCTTAAGATTAAAATACTGCTTTGCAATTTCTATTACCTTATATCACTGTCCCTAATCTAGTCTCTTCTGATTAAGGAGCTGTTCTCCTTGGCAGAATAACCCTGCAGAGATTGAACATGACACGGGACTGGATACTTGCTCTGTATAACTATCCAAGAAGAGACTTGCATGCTTCAGAATGACCAAACTCCTGGCCTCCTTTATCCCATGAAGGAAGCTGCTCAGTGAGGCTCCATGCTGACCAATTAGGTAACACAGCTTGCTGAAACGGCTTGCCACCTCCTGCAACAGCTGGACTGTACTTGCAGTGCCCAAATTTTCTGTAACAAAGTGATGATGATGATGATGACATAACCTGAAGATTCATTACCAGAATACTTTATGATCAAGATTATGAATCCCCCTTTTCTAGAAATATTTAACATGCTGAGATGTACTCTCGACAATGGAATTCAAATCATCACACTGTTAAAGAAAGAAACTTCAGAGATCAGAGAATCCAGTCATTTGAGAAACTTGTTAAAAACACATACACAGGGATCCTATAGCTTCTGACTCAGTAGGCTAAGGTTAAGATCCTAGGATGGATATATTCAGAAGAAAAGTTTTCCATGTAATTCTGAAGACCAGCCAAATTTCAGAACCACTGAGCAAATCCAACTCTCCTCCAGTTTTGAAGATAAATAATCTGAAGCCAGAAAAAGGGAAGTGAGTTATCTTAATTTCACAGAACTGGTAAGTGACAGCCAGGAATTAAACCCACTTTTGTAGTTACATTTTAGTTAACATTTTCAATTTTTTGTACTGACTTCTGCTCTACTGGCCCTTGGACAACCCCAATACTTCAGTGAAGAGAGGGCAATCCCAGAATCAGACTGACCAGGTTGCTCTGAACTTTATAGAGGGTACCAGGAGATTATTTGCTTTTTCCCAGTCCAAAGTTCCTAATTTCCAGGACTTCTCTCTAAGCAGTGAGGCTGATGAGCAGACAATGTAAGAACAACATAGAAATCATGAATCAGGACAGGGAAAAGGACAATTTCACTTTTCTTTCAGACCAATCCAGGAAGCTTCCAGCTTGGACTAATGCTTTTCCCCTGCCAATCTCCTGCGGTCTTAGGCCTACCCACTGGAAGAGAATTTATAGAACAGGCACTCTGTGACATTTAAAAAGGCAAAACATATTAAAAACTAAAATAAACTGGGGTGCCTGACTGGCTCAGTCGGAAGAGCATGCGACTCCTGATCTCCAAGTCATGAGTTTGAGCCCCAGCTTGGGTGTAGAGATTACTAAAAAAAAGACTTTAAAACATAAATAAGACAATATAAAATAAACAAAGAAATTTAAAAATGCAGACAGTCCCTAACTTACAAAAGGTCACATCCTGAAAGACTATAAATTAGTTATTTGAAAAAATAAATGTTTTCCCATTATAAAAATGGGCTGACCCACACAAGCCAATGTCAACTTAATGTGGAAAAACTGATGTTTCTCATCAAGGCAGAATTTAAGTACTACAGTATTGATCTGAATTCTAAATCCTCACAGGGGGCCACAGAGTGCAGGAAAGAGAAAGAAAACTTCCTCTCCATTTTCTATGTGCAGGGCCAAACCTACAAAAACTTTTGAAATGGTGAGATCTGATCTTCAATAGCCATTTCCCCCACTTCCATTTGTATTCCTTTCTAACCTCCTGGAGACCCAGGGATCTAGTGTATCCAGACAGTAGTCCCCCTCTAGAACTACTGTAATTCATTTTCTCTGTATTATCTCTTCATCTTCGATCCCTCTTCATTGTTGACGGCAGCTAAGACAAGGAATCAGATTTAACCAATTCGTGGTAATGCTGGATAAGACCTGGACACTCTTGTCAGAGTTAAGAGACATTTGTAAATCCAAATGAATCTCTACTTGATATAATTCTAAGAACTAGAACAAAGAAAATGAAAAAGTCACGTAGTACAACATAAGATTTCTTAGGACTAGAAGTGTTGTTTTGGGGGCGCCTGGGTGGCTCAGTCGTTAAGTGTCTGCCTTCGGCTCAGGTCATGATCCCAGGGTCCTGGGATCGAGCCCCACATAAGGCTCTCTGCTCAGCGGGAAGCCTGCTTCTCCCTCTCCCGCTCCCCCTGCTTGTGTTCCCTCTCTCACTGTGTCTCTCTCTGTCAAATAAATAAATAAAATCTTTAAAAAAAAAAAAAATGTTGTCTTGAAGTCTAACTCCTAGGATCAACTTTCCCAAAGCTGTTTCTGCTTCTCTACCATGAATATTCTGAAAGCTCCACTTCCTATTTCCACAAGGAGAAAGAGCTCTGGGAGTGGTAGAATACTCAGGGGCAGCTGGGCTCCTGACAAAGTGGAAACAGTTTGTAAGTTGTTGACTGCCTGTGTACAAAAATAAGAAAACAGAAAGAAAGAAAGAAAGAAACAAACAAACAAACATGTAACTCAAGTTTTTTTTATTTGTGACATAGGAAGAACAGATAAAATAAGAGTCCTGCCTGATAACTGAGGGAGTTGGGGGGACGTTCTACTTACCTAAACTGAGAAGAGGCCTGAGAATCTGAGATTTGATGTCACTTAGTTTTGAATAGAATCGTCTTTCTGTAGTAGCCAACTCATGGAGACTGGCAATATATCCCATAACATTTTTGTCCACCAAAGCTAGATAGCTATCTTTTCCTGCTGTCACTCTGCTTATATATCCGAGCTGAAATAGAGAAGAAAAAGATTAAGGATAAAATATAATTTACTAGCAGTAATTTGGGTGCTAAAGCTGGCTCATATCAGCTGGCAGGAGCCAAACGGAATCCTTACATTCAAGAATCTTCCAAGTTAGTTATTAAACCACTAGTAGCTTGAAATTGGCAACAGTAAAATTACCCCTCCCCCCCCCAATAAAATGGCAAACACTACAGATCAGGGTTTTTGTTTTGTTTTGTTTTAGATCTGGTTTACCAGTACAACATTGTTATATATGTATATCTGGACCTATATATTACCATTTATATCTATATTTTTATTGCTGCAATATCTTTTATTTCATATTACATGTATTTAGAACCACAGACACCCTAAATATACAAAGATCCAAATGATAGAGATACATGTCTCAGGATCCTCTTTTTATGAAACAGGATAAATGAGAGCAGAGAGGATCTCTACACTGTGTACTAGAATATCAAGGGTCTAGGAAACAACAACAAAGTACAACACAAAGGGATTTTCTTTAAAAGGGACTTTCTGTCATTTATCCATTATACCACTGAACAAAAATAATCAATGTATACACAGATCCCTATAAACCCAGCAACCAAGCTGCAGACCAAGTGGACTAATATCCATGGTAATAACAATACATACTAGAGCCCCATTCCTCTCATCAGCCTATTTCATCATTTATCTGGGCTGTGGAATCCTTCATGGGGAATGTGGAGCAAGGGCCAACAACTACAAAGAGTCGGTGAGTATGTCTGAGATAACAGCCTATATATAGGTCAGGAGCCAAATCTTGGCCAGTGTTGCCTTTAGCAAGAAAGATTTTGTGCTATACATTCATAGCTTATGCATTTAGCCAGAAAAACATGAAAGATTAAAAAAAACAATCCATCAGATATATTATCCGGTAAGAAGAAGAAATCCAGAACGTACTAGCTTTGAGGGTTAATTCCCTTACAACATACCACTCTGAGGATGTAAGTTGCTTTAATGAGAAAAAAAGAAAAAACCAAGAACAGGCCAATCGTTTAAGTTCATGAAAAAGAGACAGGAAGTAGGAAAGCAAAGAAATTCAATTCAACAAATGAAAAAGAAGGGAGTAAACAGTAATAACTAAAATGACAAGTTAACAGAGGGAAGGAATGGGAAATACAGCGCTGCTGGTGGCCTGTCAGGTCTGCCATGAGCCCACCTTGGGTCTATGTTATTTTTACTTCCCATTTACAATTAAAAATTCATCTACTCAGGGACACCTGGGTGGCTCAGTCAGTAAAGCATCTGCCTTCAGCTCAGGTCACGATCTCAGGGTCCTGGAATAGAGCCCTGTGGCTGTGGGGGTGGGGGGGGCCTGCTCAGCGGGGAATCTGCTTCTCCCTTTCCCTCTGTCTCCCTCCATCCCCCACCGCTCACACACTCTCTCTCTCAAATAAATAAATCTTCAGCAAATAAAACAAAATAAAAAATATCATCTACTCCATTTCTATTCTAATTCACCTCTGAGGGCTCCATGAATGCAGTTAGGAAACTTCATTGTGAAATGTACTTTTTAATATTCCTACATGAGGGTGTTAATACAACAAGTATTTATAAAGTACTTGCTATGAGGATACAGCAGTAAATGAGAACGCCTAAAATCTCTACTCTTAGGAATCTTATAGTTGAGAACAGAAAATAGACCCAAAAAAGTAAATTATATAGTGTATTAGATGGTGACGTGCACTATGGATAGAAATAAGTCAAGAAAAGGAGATAAGGAGTAAAGGGGGATGGGAAGGGCTGCAATTTTAAATACAGTAGACAAAGATACTTAATAATAGGTATACATACAAATAATAACAAAAACAAGACTGTTCATGTGTTACAGAGGCCTTAGGATCCAATTCTTGTTCACCTTACTACAGGAGAGAAGTACTGGAGTCTTAGTACCACTGTGATTCTCTGGAAGATTGTCACCTTCTGCAGGGTCCTGTCGGCCACTGTAATATAACCCAGGCTGGAAGTCTTCTGTATCCACTAAAAACAGGGAATAATCCTGGCCTGCAGCTACACTCCAGACTCCATTTTCACTGCTCACCTGTAATGACAGCAAGATATTGTCTGTCCAAGACGAAAGAAAGAATTAAACAGAAATTCGGATCCACCAGAACAGAAATGTTAGGTTACTTAAACAGATGTGGTGCAAAGTCACTCATACCTCAAAAGGGCAAAACTCACCCACTAATGGGTCCGATCAACTGCAGCACAGATGCAGATATAAGAAGGAATCCTGTGTTCAGCTTTTAAATTTAGAACTGGATCGTTTTTATAAAAATCTGAAAAACTGGGCTTTAAAACGGAAAAACCATAGGTCTAATTTTTTAATAGTTATTTTTGGAAGTCTCTACAGGACTTAGGCTGTACTACAATCAGGAAACACAGAAACTTCTAGAGCCCTATTCTGACAGCTGGGACACAGCGTTGTCCATACATATTCGACTGTGTGCACAAAAATCAAGATGGAAAGAAAAAAATCTAACATGGCAAAATTCCATTCTAGCCAACTAGACTCTTGGGTGCGAAAATTCAGTTTTCCCACTTGGAACTCACTACCTCTCCAATGTGGCTTCACTGTACCAAGTCCCAGGCTGTTGAAACAGGCAAGACCCCTTAGAAGCCCATCTGCAGGGATCCCCCCGACCAGTGGTTCTCAACAAGCAGTCTTTGCAGCAGCAGCAATCACCCACAAATATTAGAAAGGCAAACTCTCAGGCCACAGCGCTACTGGGGGTGAAGCAATCTGGTTTGACAAGTTCTCCAGGTGATGCTGATGTGTGCAAAAGTTTAAGAACCACTGCCTTAAACCAATGGTTTTCAATCCTCAGGATTCCACGTAGCGATTCAGGAAACACCATGGAAAGGCAGGTGTCAGGGCTCTGCCCCTATCCCACTCCATCCTTCAACTAAAGTAGTTCCATGTTTATCCGTTTTGTGTATGGGATTACACATAAGATTTCATTTGAAGAAAGTGTTCTGCTATGAAAACTACTGCCCCAACCTCCAGCCCCAGCTTTAGCTATGACTTCCACACTGATAAGCAAAAACCCTCTTATCTGTTATTCTTTGTGTCTAGACAGGCTCCAAATCCTAGGTGATTAGATGATTGTGTGAGTGTGTGTGCATGTCTCCCTACTTTATAGCTAGTCCTTTCTGGCATGACATTTATCTTCTCAAATTCAGGCTCTCCAAATAACTGGCTTCCTGTTAATTTTGTAAAGAATGGATTAAAATTTTTGCAGGAGACAAAAGTCTTATTAGTCTCCATCAAAACTAATTCAGATCTCATTCTACCTTGACTTTTAATTCACAGATTAATTAAAATGACATCAGAATGTTTTTCTCATTCTTCCCCCAAATAAAAAAACCAAAATCCCGATGCTGTAATTTTTATATGTACAGTTAATGAATAATGAAACTAAAATCTTATTCTCTTTTGTCTGACTGTACAATGTTACATAAAAACTTGATTTTCCAAGGTCTCCATTCTAAGTTACAGAAATTTCCTTGGTAAGAATAAATGTACATTCAATTTCATTGAGGTGAAAAACAAGGAATGATGATTTACCGTATTTTTTTGTTACATAATATCAGTAATTGAATAGCTTACCACTGAAATGCTCCATAGGGAAAACATTTAAGATTGGAACTAGAAAGTAGTAACTGTTGCCTAATGTTTTATTTAAGTCTTCCCTCTCAGTGAAATGAAGTTCACTGGAAGGAAAGGCAGCATGTGCAAGTCTTATGAAGCAATGGATCACAGTGCACTCTGAAAACATGCATTACTGCAATATGTATTATCTGGAGTTTATATGTGAATCATGTTCCTGAACTTGAGGTAACCACCTTTTTTTAGGCTCTGTTGCTCTCAGTGGAGGGAGCATGTATTGGGCTGGGTTGATAGAATCAAACTACAAATGGATGAGCTCCATATTCCATTCTGTTAGGCTAACACCATGTGTACTGCCCCCGTCCTCTACCCTCCAAAAAACCAAACAAATCTCGTATAAGGAGTTAATACTATTGATGAAAATTTAGTATTTCCACAGAGTTTTGGAGCAAAAAAAAAGATTGATAAACAGTCCTCTAGAATCACATCAAAGGGACTAGAAGCCACCAACCTCTGAAAAGCATTACATAAACTAAAACCAATTTATATGACAGTGAAGAAATCATTTACACTTTTAGCTTCACTACAATGAAAAGATTTACAAAAAGGTTTTACTATTATGACTATGTATGTAAAAAACAACAAAAGCCAAGAATAATAATAATAATAATACCACCACCAAATAATGTTATGCAAAAGTCAAACTTAAGTGAAAAGTCAGAGTAGGCATTATTTGGTGGTATAAAGCTCAGAAGTCAGCATCACAGTCCTAGAAACGTTTGTTTTAAAAGAACGTTTTCATTTTTATTTAAAAAAAAAAAGACAAAGGACTATGAATAGTCAATGAACAATGGAAGCTAAGAACAAAAGAAATACAAACATATTTTTAAAAAGAACATTTAGCTTGAAAATAAGGGGCTTCATGGCTTTTTTAAGTACACCAAAACGAATTTAGATTACAAATAAAGAATTCTACTAATTTTTCAAACACAAAATGGAGAAATATAAAGTGCTATAACTTAGAATTCTGAAATAAGTTGCTATAAAAATCATCAAGTTCTCAAAAGTACCTTTGCAAGACGAGGAACTGTTGTTGGAAAATCATAATGCCCAAGTTGACCAAAGGTATTGCTACCCCATGAGTAAACCTATTAGAAAATCATAGGAAAGTAGGTAAAAGTTGTGAATCTGACTGCATGTCATTTCTGAACGTCTATAACATGAACATATATAAGTGTATATATATATATGTACACACACGCACCAATAGTTACATATAGATTACTTACACTCTTATAATAAAATACTGAGAAAATTCATCTTTAAACTAGACCAGAGATAATGAGCAAACAGTACATGGGAAGAGAGAGTCCAAGAGTTAACAATAACTAACCTTTCCCAGGTGTTTACTACCTACCAAGCATTGTTCTTGACAATTTCTTTGTATTAATTAATGTTTAATTCTCATGACAATCCTTTCTTTACAGATAAGGAAACTGGCTCAGAGAAGTCACAAATTTTAAGTGGCAGAGCCAGGATATAATCCCAGGAATTATCCTATACTGCCTCTTACAAAGAAAGTGATAAAAAAGAAAGGTAAGTGCTATAAAGAAAAGTTAATCATGATTCTTTTTCTGTAGACAGGAGTACCGTGAAATGACTAGAACATCTTTTCATATATGAAGAGTTGTTGTAGGAGAAACCCAAGTACCTATGCTCCACTACAGACAAAAGAAACTAGATGACCGTGACTATGCTTAATGACAATGGTTGTTTCCTCTGGTTTAAAAAGCAATTCATGGTCACTGTACAAGACTGTCACAGAACAAAGAAATGAAAAGAAAGTGAAAACAACTGATGAACTGATCACTTAGAGACAAATGCTGTTTTGTTTTGGGAACATACATATACATGCTTCTAGAAATTTTAATGTCTATGGTATATAATGTAGACACAAAATGTAAAGCAAAATGGGACTATAGTATTTAATGTTGTATTGTGAACTGATGTTTTTCTTTAATGCTATTCCTTGACATTTTTCAATGTTGATAAGTACCGAGCTACAACTTTATTTATTTATTTAAGAAAGAGAGAGCATGCAAGCAGGAGGAGGTGCAGAGGGGGAGGGAGAGAGAATCTCAGGCAGATTCGGCATCAAGTGCAGAGCCAGACACAGGGCTCGATCTCACGACCCTGACATCATGAACTGAGCTGAAATGAGGACTCAGACAATTAACCAACTGAGCCACCCAGTAGCCCAACCTACAACATCATTTAGAGTAACTACACAGAACTCTATTGTGGGTGTAGTTTAATAAATTACCTAATGAAGTAACCATATTTATCATTTCTAGTTCTTTAATAAAAAATATTGAAAATCCTTGAATATACGTATTTGTTTATCTATTTATTTCCTTAGAATAAATTCCTAGGCAAAGAACTCTGGGTCCATGAATCTGCACGTTCTGATTTTTGATACGTACTGACAAACTGTCTTCCAGCACGGTCCAATGTACATTTCCTACCAGCACCATATCTTTTCCCTACACCCTCACCAGCAACCAGTATTAAATGGGATGGGATCCTCGCTCATCGGGTAAGTGAGAAAATATTTTACTGTTGTTTTTGTTTTTGTTGTTGTTGTTGTTTTTTAAAGATTTTATTTATTTGACAGAGAGAGACACAGCAAGAGAGGGAACACAAGCG